CCCTCATCCTGATCAATATTTCTCTATTCCTCTAATGTTTCTGTTTGCTTTGTTCTAAATTCTTGGTCTTGAAAAATAAACATTATCTATTCTTTTTCATGATCCCTCTCAAGAAAGCCTGCATCATGTGTATTTTCTTGAAAAGTATAATGATGTCAAAAGCATTGCTGATATTTTATGGTTATATTACTATGAAAATGACTTCAAAATTACCGTTACACTTCAGAAGAGTTCTCCATTGCAATATCAGCTTTCAGCCAGTTTGTGTAACATAAACCCAGTCAACAAATCATTGCCATCCATTGTTTTTCATGAAGAAAATCCTTCTAAATTATGTCTACAGTTCCAGGATGGGAGGAAGTAGACAATTTATGCTTGGAAAAACAATAACGACTTTCCTTTCCTTGAAGTTTATTTGGACTTAGTTTCTCACATAAATAATGGAACAAATGACCAATAGTAAGGTTAGAGATTATTTAAAATAAGCACAGCCGCTGAAGAAAATGCTCATAGCTGTGGGAAAATGTTTAATAATTAATGGCCTTTCGACTAAACCAGAGGTAACCGAAATGGAAGGTTTAATCAACTTCTCGCTGCCGATGAACTGTTTTACTGGATGTTAGGCAAGGCATTTCCACATCTTTCTCGTAATGAGATATTTTCAAGCTGTGAATGAACCCCATTGAAAAGATATAATGCTGTGTCCAGCTATAAAAGTAGGATAAGCTTCATTACTGATACACAGTGGGGCAAGTATGAGGAATAAAGAACAATTCTTCAATGTTTGGCAAGAAGCAACGTCTATTGAATTGCAAAATGATATCCTTCCTTCAACATAAACAAAGGAAGGAAAGAAGAATTTGATTCAGTTGAATGCCATTTCAGCCTGAGTGTAAAAACAGACCGCATTTTCCCTTCTTCATCTGGTTGATGCTGCTTTAATAGCTGTATTGCTTTGATTACGAATCGGTCTAAATCTGGGATGGGCAACATGAAGAGGCACGTTGACTCAGTGGCTTAATGATGAGGGAGATGGTCTCAGCTCTGGCGATTTGAGCTGGAGCTCTGTGTAGTGAATGAGCTCCCATCATTCACCTCAGCTTCGGTCCACCTAACAGTTCGAAAGCATGTTCAATGCGAGTAAATAAAATAGGTACCACTTCAACGGAGAGACAAGCTGGTGCTCCATGCAGGCAGTCAGATTCTTGATGGCTCTGAACTTTCCCTGTTGTGGTGCCCGCTTGCGAGGCAGCTCCGGGAAGGGAAGGGCTTTGGGTGACGCTGCAGGAAGGACCACTGGTCTTTCAGTCTGGTGCAAAGCCAGCTTGCCCTTCTGTGGCACACCTTGGGAAGGATGCAAGCGTTTCCTATAATACGGCTGTACCTTGGCAAGCCAGTCTACTGCAATAGCATTGTGGTCTCCTGCCTATTGTAACAACACCATACACTAATCATCATAATCATCAACAACATCAGTTGCTTATTTTCTGTTACTTCAAGAATAAACATGGAGTAATTATTAAAATCAATGGCCAATATAAATAAATGTACTGTTGTGTTTACTCATACAGAGAGAATGAATTAGTATTGAATGATAAAATAAATGTTTGTTTGTTTGTTTGTTTAGTTAGTTAGCTGATTTTTATCCCACTGGTATTACTTTATAACAATCCAATAAATTTAAATAAATAAAATAAAAAAGCGATGCATATACCTAGTACTCCTTCCTACTCATATTTACTCTTCTTCAGAAGTACAAGGACGTTCCATAGTGCTTTTTTTTTGTTTTTGCTACAAGAATAGCTGTGTGAGGGAGTTTGGAGTAAGAAAGTGACTGTCCAGTGAGCATCTGTAGCAGAAGACCACCAAAACCTGGGTCCTGCTAATCATAATCCATAGACTATTTCATCATACTCGCTTATTCTCTTCTGAGAAACAGGCTGAGAAGAAGCAGAAATATGAGAAAGGCATGACTATAAGGATCTAATGAGAACTTCAGAGAGAGGGAAATCTAAAGTTTAAAGGCAATGTATTAAATAGAATAGATAGGTGGAATGGTTTGCAAAGATAAAAAGTTATAGAGCTGTGGTGATGCAGTGATTAGAATGCAGTATTGCAGGCTCTATTCTGCCCACTGCCAGAAGTTTGATCATAACTGACTCAGCCTTCCATCCTTAAGAAGTCTGTAAAATGAGGGTCCAGATTGTTGGGGGCACTGTAAACCACTTAAAGAGCTTGCAAATGACACCACGCTGGCAGGAATAGCCAACACTCCAGAAGATAGGCTTAAGATACAGAAGGATCTTGACAGACTTGAACATTGGGTGCTATCTAACAGAATGAAATTCAACGGTGAAAAAAGTAAGGTTCTATATTTAGGCAAGAAAAACAAAATGCACAGGTACAGTATATGTGATACCTCGCTCAATAAGTAGTAATTCTTGAGAGGGATCTTGGAGTCCTAGTGGACAACTTTTTAAACATGAGCCAGCAGTGTGCAGCAGCTGCCAAAAAAGCCAAAACAGTTCTAGGCTGCATAAACAGAGGGATAGAATCAAGATCATGTGAAGTGTTAATACCACTTTATAATACCTTGGTAAGGTCATGCTTGGGATACTGCATCCAGTTTCGGTCTCAATGATGTAAAAAAGATGTTGAGACTCTAGAAAGAGTGCAGAGAAGAGCAACAAAGATGATTAGGGGATTGGAGGCTAAAACATATGAAGAACGGTTGCAGGAAATGGGTATGTCTAGTTTAAGGAAAAGAAGGACTAGGGGACATGATAGCAGTGTTCCAATATCTCAGGGGCTGCCACAAAGAAGAGGGAGTCAAGCTATTCTCCAAAGCACCTGAGGGTAGAACAAGAAGCAATGGTTGGAAACTAATCAAGGAGAGAAGCAACTTAGAACTAAGAAATTTCCTGACAGAACAATTAATCAGTGGAACAACTTGCCTCCAGAAGTTGTGAATGCTCCAACACTGTTTTTAAGAAGAGGTTGGATAACCATTTGTCTGTAAAGCACCGTGAAGCAGTTTATAAGTCTAAGTGCTATTGCTATGGAGGATAGTGAGTGGTGTTGGTTTATACTATTAATTAGATTTTCTTTTCTCTCTCCAGTCAATGCCTTTAATTCCCTTTGCAAAACACTCCTTGGTCTTTTTTCTGTGCTTTTCATAACATTACATATTTTGGAAGAGAATAGTGAGATGATTGTGTATATGGATCAAATCCATCTGAAGCCATTACAATCTTTGTGAAACTTTTGAATTTTTTTCCTCCCCTTAAGAACTCAGTGGAGAGGAACCCAAACCAACTTTTCTAGAATTAAAACAAAGCCTCATTTCAGAAATTGCAACAGGTACATGTAGAGGAGGAGGCAGACTTTCAGGTATCCTATTTGCACACTTTAGAATTTTATGAATCCAATCCCACAAGTTTTAGTTTGCTTGGAAATGAACAAAAGCCCAGTTGGCTCAAGTACAGTAAATACAGAGTTTTTAAAGCGCAAATCAAATTGTTTTCTGACTATCCCATTTAGTGCTCCTAATTTCCAAAGTCTTTTTAGGGACAAGAGCCCATTTTGTGCAACCAAATCACATGAGAGCAGTTACATCTACCTTCTGTGTTCTTGGGAAAAGAGAAATATTTTGCCCTTCATTGTTAAGATACAAACCAGCCCAGTGCCACCTTACTGAACAAAACCTGCATATATCTAAATGATCGAGTCTTTGTTAGAGGAATTAAGAGACAGATAGCATTAAAAGTTGAGCTCATCTGCTTAAGAAATCTGCAAAGAATTTCCCTTTAGAAGTGTAGGGGAAATGCCACACCTTGATTGAGAATAAATTATTTTTTGTGTGTGACTTTTATTTGACCTGTGGGCCTCTTTTCTAAAAATTCAAGTTAAATTTGTAAAAAGTACTGACAGAAGCTAATGTAAACCATGATACGGAGTGTTTTTTTTTCATACTGAAGCCCCCTCCAGCCATCACTTGGAACAAAACAGTTATGTGTTAAACAGTTATGTGGTACATGGAATATGTTGGTAGATTGTTGCTGGTTAAGTTAGTAGCTATTACACTTTGGGATATGGGTAGTCCTCAATTTAACCACAATTGAGCCTGACATTTTAGTCATAAAGTCATTGCACCCATTAAGCAGATTAGCAGGTGACTGACTCAACTTTATGACTGCAAGGCAGGGCAGCAAAAGCAGCTTGGCTGGAGCTTCCCAGGCCTTTGGGGAGGTTCATGGGTACAAGTGATTGCTTTGAACCACTGAAGTCTCTTGGGCAGTGTGGCTGCTTTGTGCTGCGCTATTGGGACTTTCCCGACATTTAAGGGTGGAGCTGGGGGGTGGAGATAGGCAGATGGGAGGAGTTTCAGCACCTCTGTGGCCAATCATAAGTGCTGGCAGGCTGCCAAGCAAGCAAACTTTGGTCATGTGGGGGTTGCAACGGCCATAACGTTGGGCACAGGTCCTAAGTGCCCTCATTCAGTACCGATAGTAAGTTTGAACAGTTGTTTAACATCTTCAACAACTGTTGAGCGTCTTAGCCACTGAGCCACCACATCCCCATTTCACCTGTAGAGGAACTCAAATGGTAAATTAATAATATACAGCATATTTTCATTAAATATGGAAATATGGAAAAGTATATGGGGCAGTGAAATCTTTATACATCAACAATCCAGATTTTACTTGAATCTGTGTGTCCCAAACTGAAAGTTTATACACAGAACAGTATTAATGAAAATATGCTGTATATTATTTTACCTATAGAGGAACTCAAATGGTAAATTAATAATATACAGCATATTTTCATTAATACTGTTCTGTGTATAAACTTTCAGTTCAGGACATACAGATTCACGTGAAATCTGGATTGTTGATGTATAAAGATTTAATTCAGTGTCCCATATACTTTTAATTTTGTCTACCTAATTTTTCTTACTTCATTTTCTCTTCTGTCTGAATTAAGATTTATGGAATCCTGAATTTTATTTTGATTAATTTTATGACTTTTTATTCAGCAATTTGTTAATTAAATTTTACATAAAATTGCACGTAGAAAAATGATGTTAAAGAAGGATAAACAATGTATGAATTATATTTAGATATGGATTTAGATATACTTATTAGACCAAGTGGGAAAGTTAATCATGATTCATTTAGGTGCCTTTAACTTCAGAGGGTGCAGTCCAGACTTAAGTCAGGAGGCTATTTTTACACAGTCCATTTAAAAGAGCAAGCATTCTATTAAAGATTTATGCGAAAGAGTACAAGTATTTTTTAGTCCTTTTTTGTTGACCACAACTCAGTTGTTAAGCGAAGCAGTCATCATTAAGTAAATTGCCATTGTGCTTATCATTATACTGCAGTTTTTCTTTGCTTTACAAAGTTGCCAAAGTTGTAAATGCAAGAATTGGTCATAAAATTATTTTTACATCATCTTCATAACTGCCAGCAGTTGCTAAACAAGGACGGAAAACTATTGTCCAAGTATGTAAGACAATGTACATCAATTATATGTTTCAGATCAACTGTGTAGGAGGAAAAAAAATCAGGCCCAGAGAAGTTAATGTTCGTAAAGACACTGGAGCTGTGCATATTGAATCTTCATGTTCAGAATTTTCCTTTCTGTTCTCAGGTCCAAGATGCTAAATACTGATGATGTGGTATCCATCTTTGGAACATATATTTTGAAATGTAGCATGTCTTTGGTTCTGCTTTGCCCTCCATAGAGATTATGGTTAATCCAGATGTGCAGAGCAGTCTATTCTTCCAAATGCCAGTGTGCTTCCAAAGGAACTTCAGCTTCCTGGAGCAGCTTTGTTCTGTAATGCCTTTCTAGACAGTCCATGACAAGCGGGTATGTTGCTGGCTCAAATTTATTGGCAAATAAATGTGGAGAGTTAATAATCCACTCCAAATCTCCAAGTCCATAGATGCAAATATCCCTGACATAATGTCCTACAAAAGAGAAATTGCACTGTAAATTGATAATCCCATGCTGGATACCATTCAGCATATGAAATACGCTGTAGGAATCATAGATTAGAATTGGGGGAAGGAGAAAGGAAAGGAACGGCCCTTTAACGTAATAACCTATAAAGATTAGTTACTTTTTACCCTAATTTTGCTTTTGATCACAGATACGTCCATATGTGACGTGGACACACATGGCATATATGTGTGAAATGGGGGAATAAGAAGGAAAAATCTATATTTTTGTTTCCTTTGAAAGAAGTTGGGAAGAATAAAGCTGCTTTAAAAAAAAAAAAGGAGCCACAAAATTTTACTAGTTGGATAAAACTCAGTCAATTATTTGTATTGGAAATGTCTGTAGGTGCAAATTCTTTGTGCCCCACTTTGTAATTAAATTCACAATTAGGATTATTCTGTATTGCAGCTTGTTGAGTCATCTAGTGTCATCTAATACAGTAGATTTCTTAGTATTGCTTCAATTAGATTTTGTGGACTTTATCCCTTCATTCCCATCAGAATGACCAGAATGTCATGCATAGTTGAGCACTGACAGGTTATGACTTCTCAGTGGTTCCTAAACTAGGATTGTGTCATATTCAGTAATTACCTTTGCAGCCATTATGGGCTTCTCCTTGATTTTTCCACTTGATTGCTCGTATATTTCCTTGCCAAGTTGTGTTTAGTGTAGCGCCAGGAGCATCTGTACAACCAATTGGAAAGCTTGTTATACACGTTTTGCATTTTGAAAAACATATTTATGCTTTGGATGTATGAATTACTCTTCTAGTATTGCTGTTCCCAGGGTAACAAATAGTAGTGATTTCCCCATAACATATTACATCTGCCTTTACTTATTTTTAAGTATGTGACTGTACTGCCTCTTAAAGCAATATCTATGAATCATTACTTTGTGAACTTGTAAGTGGCAGCTTAAAACCATTAATAAATGAAATTAATTCTAGTTCATCTCAGTGAAGCAAAAAAGACCACTTATGAAGATGCTATTTTTAAGCAGACTAAGGGCCATGGAAGTTTTTGCAGTAATAAATGTGTTAGTGTTTAAGATGCCGTAAAGTTTTTGTTGTGGTTACTAAAGGATGTGATTACAGTTGCAACACAATTACAGTTGCATTTACAGTTGCAACACAAAAAGAAAGCTTTTTATGAAAGTGTGCAAATATGAGTGTGTTATTTTTTTAAATGAAGTGTAGGCTTTGAAGCCTCTAAAAAAATTTGGGTGAAGTCCCCTGAACCCCATCAAAAGTTACTACAAAATTGTATTTTTGTTAAGATTTAGCACAAATCAATATCAAATTTAAATTGCTCTGGTTTCCTCTACATTTTGGAGTCCAATCTTTGGCACATCAGTCAAAGCTAATACAGCCTTTGATTTGGAATAAAAGTACATTTCTATTTTAAAATAAGAACAAGAATGCAAATTCTCAATACAGATTCAATCCACAAGGATTTGATGATACCTGCCCTTAGGGAAACTGATTCAGGGCAGAGCTAATGCCTTCTATTATAAAAACTAACTACTTTCTTTGGGGTGTGTTCTTTGGAAGAAAAAAACGAAGGAACTCTAGTAGATGCAATGCAGATGAGTACTGCTAGCTCTGTGATTTCTTCAGTCACGTTAGTAGGCAAATCATTGAGAATTTGAGAGACTGCAGATATGGGAGGATCTCCAACCCACTTTCCCAAACTCAGGCTACAGAACCATATTTGAAACAGATTCCCCCATTCTAAAACAAATTGTATCGTTTACTGTATGCTTGTGAGTCGCAACTGGTCAGAACCTGTCCAGTCCCAGTCTTCAACTTTTAGATATGTCAACATGATATTTGGGTAACAGATCATATGTTTCTCAAACCGCCAAAAGTGGGTGAAACTCATTGTTGGTGGGAATGTAATATTTGCCAAGAAAAGTCTGGAACATATAACGGCATAGTTGATAGCTAGTATATCAATAACCAAATAGGTTGTATTTCGCCTTCAAAGACCAAAAAACTTTCCTAGGACTAGGAGTCAGGCAGTAAGGTGGAGCCCAATAAAGGCAACCTTATGGCCTTTTTATCTCTGCTGTTGTTAATAGGATTTCTTCTTGTGCTTTAATGTCATTTTAGTTATGCTTTTGTTTGTTGTGAGCCATGTAGAATAGCTTCTGTGAGATGGGTAGCCAAGCTGTTGGTGTCTTCTGATTTTTCAGGCAGTGGGGATTGCCACTTGCCACCACCTATCCGCCGCTGCCTATTGGTGGTTGGATCGGCCTCCCGGATCAGCACACAAACAACGGCGGTGGCAACAGGAGCGGCGGTGATCCCTGTTGCCTGGAACAGCTGATCGGTGGTATTCTGGGAGGCTGATCCAACTGCCGATAGGCAGCTGTTCAATGTTGCTGCCTGTCGCAGCCAGTGCACCAACCCCCTCCCCCGGTTGCGGCCCAGTCTGTGACACAATATTCGCTCCATAAGACGCACAGACATTTCCACCCACTTTTGGGGGACAAAAAAGTGTGCCTTATGGAACAAAAAATACGGTATATAATTTAAACCATTGGGATTGAAACAATGTGAAATCTTACTTTTTTACTTAATTTTATTTTGGTTTGTTTTATTGCTTTTCTTTATTTCCCACCCACCCACCCCCGACTTAACTCACAGGTTAAGGAAAAGCCCTCCAATTCATGGTGTATTGTGAATTTATTATTTTCTAAACCTGAAAGGCAGACTGAAAATAGATTTTGGAATTTGGTTAATGATTTCCAATAGATTCTCCTTAGCTTACATCTATCAATATATTACTAAACCCTCTTATTCCTGAAACCTTTAAGTGGACAAAACAATGCATCACAGGGCAACAATTTTGAATTAAAGTACCTCAAATGGGCTAACTTACAGAATGGGACCAAAATATGGGACCCATGCTCCCATGGAATTGAAATTTGGCAAATTTTATTTTAAAAAAGTTATGACATTGAAAGTATTAAAATATATATGACATAATAAATACAAAAATGCCATAAAACATTTTCTCTGCTAATTAACTCTGCTATATAGCAATAGCGCTTAGACTTATATACCGCTTTATAGTGCTTTACAGCCCTCTCTAAGCAGTTCACAGAGTCAGCCTATTGCCCCCAACAATTTGGGTCCTCATTTTACCCACCTGAGAAGAATGGAAGGCTGAGTCAACCTTGAACCTGGTGAGATTTGAACTGCCAAATTGCAGGCAGCCGGCAGGCAGCAGAAGTAGCCTGCAGTGCTGCACTCTAACCACTGCGCCACCGCTCATATAGTTCAACATGGTCTATTTTCACAGTAGATGCATGTCTGAATATAACCCAATTTTCCAGTGAAGGCAGTACATTAAAAGTTCTGTCATTGTTGAAGGCATTGAGAATCTGGTAATGAAATATTTCTGAAAGGGGGAGCCAAGGGATCATGGGTTGTCTGATAAGCAATCTTTGTGAACAATGTACAGTAAACAAGATAATTCTATAATTCTGCTTACCTGGTATATGATTCAGGGTGACCCAGTAATGCTCGTCTGGACTGTAGGTGTCTCTTGACCATTCAAGCAAATCTTTTGCACGTTCATCAGTCAGTGTAAACTCTACAAATTTTCTTGTGAGTACATAGTACGCAGTCCCAAAATATATAGTCAAATTGTGGGGTGGTTTACTTTTCACATTATTAGTTGGATAGACAAATGATTTTCCAAAACGTATAAATTCTTGGTAAATGAAATTAGTTCTGTATTTCATATGAGGTGGTTGAACAATTCCTGGGGTTATATTTTTACCATTCCATTTGCTTTTAATATAGTGTATAAGTTCCTTGTTAGTTTTGATGGGATAATCCTGACCGCAAAGATTAATAACATAATTCCATTGATTATTTAAATGGATCAAGTCCTTCATGCAGTTGATATCTGCTTGCAGCCTGGAGAATCCTGCATAGACAACGTTCTCTCTCTTTGAAGCAATAAAAATGTTTTCGAAGCAGTTGACCAAGGTTTGGACCGCTTGCTTAAAATCCTTTGATGATTTCTCATCAACGTGTATGCAGTAAACGTTCTGAGGCATGTAAATGGCTCTGAGTAGTTTTATAAACATGTCCAGTTCCTTGTGAATGGTGATGATGTAAGCCAAGGAAAAATTCCTTTCTTCTTCTGACAATGGCCTTGTAATGAAATGGAGCTTCTTCTGCAGCGTAGAACAGTTGCACGGTGTTTGTATGCAGGGAGACATGTCTTTTCCCCTTAAAGCCTCCTGGCACAGCTGGCCAATGTGAAAAGCAACTCGTTTCCCATCAAAAAGGGCCGAGCATAGTTCATCTGGATAAAAGCCACACTCTTTTGAGATGAGTTTTTCCTTGTCTGCCTTGAAGATTGTATTCCGTAGATAGAAAACACCAAAGAGGAAAATGCAAACCACGATACACACTAGAAACCCTGATTTGGCTTTCTCAAGTAGGTTCATCTTTGGCTTTCCAGATGTTTTCTGGAGCTCCAAATGTTCTCTGGAGTTTTCTCTTGGCCACAGTTCCCTGAAAATGTATTACCTAGGAAAGGTTAGAAAACAACAACAACAACAACAACAGCATTTTAATCGTTAAATTTAAATGAAGTTCAGTCGATGCTTCATTCAATTTGAAAGGGGAAAAAATACTTCCATTGCTTTGCTGTTAAGGTTTCATGTTACAAATGCAGGTGTTCTTGAAGACTGGCTTAACTCTGCTTTAACAATTAATCTGCTTTTACCTCTTGTGGTTTTGATTATGGAATCTTTCTCTCTTTCACTGACATGAATAGAGATAAACTGTTCTTTCATACAACTAGCTGATAATCTTTTGGATTAGATAGAAACCTTGTTATGGATTTCAAAAATATATTTGAAGCATAACCAGAATTGGATCTAGTGTGGTTTGTTTTTTTTTAACTGTTGATTTTATGGGGAGACGTCAGAAAAGACTGAAGTTTTTACCATCATCATCATCATAAAATCTAAACCATAAATTGTTTTATTTTTTTTCCTTGAATTGCCTGAATTAGTATTGTTTTCAAACGCATGGTATAAAATAGAAAGGAAGTGGTCTTGAATGCAGTTCATATTTATTCTGCTTGGAAGAAATTGTGACCTTAGCAACACTGCATTGCCTTGCACTGCTGTTTAAAGAGGCTTTCAGAGCAGTTTTGGGGGTGGGGGAATACAGTTGCATATTTTTACCTTTCTGAATATGTTTTCCCACAAGTGTGGCTTTGTTGAAATATTAGCAGTGCCTCAGTATAGCAGTATGTTTCTTTAGAGCTCAGGAATAAAGTCTTCATCCTTGAATTCTTAGATGCTAAGTATATGCAGCCCTGGGGGGGGGAGGGGGGAAGATGCAGGAAAAGGGACAGCTTGTTGAAATACTGAGATTCAAACCAGCAATTATCTTGTATTGATTTTTCCTGCTACAACAAACACTCAACCACCCTGTTGAGCAGAGATTATGCTCGCATATGATGTGTAACTCATTATACGCATGTCCTTATCTTCTTAACTCGAATGATTTTTTTAATCTCACGATACGACATACAGTAGCAAAAAAACCCTCTAATAATCTATCTCTCTTAAATGATTTTGACCATACATTGATGTGTCTGCCTGCCAACCCCACGCACCCATACATCTCAAAGCTTCATTTTAGTTGAGATCACGTTTTTTTCAACCTGGCACATCAAGAACAACATGCTCCCGTTTGACCCGTACAGTTATAAAAACAACAACAACAACAACAATAACAATGCAATAATATACAGAATGTGATTCATTGTCCTTACTGCTAAGATCAGGGCTTTCAAGTCAGAAAATTCTCCTGTTCGCAGTGCTGACTGCTATGTGGGGAGGGCTAGAAGAAGGATGCATTCATTTTGCTGGTTAGCCCGATCCCTTTTTTTCCCCCAGCCACAGCGTTCTTTGGTGTTGCTGCTTCTGCAGGTCGAAGAAAATACATCAGGAAAATCAGTTCCCAAAAGAATTGCTTCTTGCCTGGAGGCTCATAGGAGTTAGCCTTAGTATGTAAACATCTACACAGCATCTTCTTAATAGGACAAGCTGTAAGTATCCATTGAATCAGCAAGCGTTCTGCTCCCTCACCAGCCTTTCGTTGATGTGGGGGGAAAAGGAGGTGGGGGGAGAACGCAAGATTTGGAAGGTGAATGCAAAGGTTTCTAAGGAAAGCAGAATCAACGCTCTTGAACTGCCGCCTTCTGCAAAATGACTAACACAGCCAGGAATAGATTAATATAATAGACCTTGCTTACACTATAATGAGGGTTAGGAGCTGAAAAAGGGCTCTGTGTGTGGGAGGGGAGAAGAATAGTCGTGTATTACTGGCTCCGGTCAAAAATGGCTGTGTGACAGCGAATAATTTAAAAAAATGATCTCTGTAGAAGGTCTGCAGTCTTTGTTGTTGCCGGTCGATGTTGTTGCCTGTCACTGGGGAGATAAGAGCATGAAAAGGGCAGCAAATGCCGTGCTTCAAGCCCATTTGTAATCTTTACTTTGAAAGAGTAAAAGGAAACAGTTTGAATTGTTAAGAGGTACCAGTAAAGGCTTCTGCCAACCTAGCAGTTCGAAAGCATGTAAAAAATGCAAGTAGAAAAATAGGGACCACCTTTGGTAGGAAGGTAACAGCGTTCCGTGCGCCTTTGCCGTTTAGTCATGCCGGCCACATGACCACAGAGACGTCTTCAGACAGCGCTGGCTCTTTGGCTTTGAAACGGAGATGAGCACCGCCCCCTAGAGTCAGGAGCGACTAGCACATATGTGCGAGGAGAACCTTTACCTTTACATTTACCAGTAAAGGAGAATGTTTGTAGCTGAGAGTTGACACGAGGGATCCTTGGGGCTCTCTGAGCTTGCTTGTTTTCTTGCAGATGTTTCATTACCTTAAGTAGATAACCTCATCAGTGCTAGGAAGGAGTGCTGTTTGCTGTCAGTTTATATTCTGGTGGCTTGCCTGTAGGTATGGGTGGGGGCCGTTTTAAGAGATTGTTCAGTTGGGCTGTTTACTGATGCTCTTTGGCAGTTTCTTGATCAGGTATTGTTTGCTTGATTGTTGGTCTGATGTTAATCTTGAAGTTAATCTATGCTGATCTGAGTGCTGATTGCTGTTAGAGAGGTGCTGGAGTCTTTTTGTTCCTTTTGGGGCTGGTTGATAGTCTCTTTTGCGTAGTCTGTAGACGTTGCTAATGTCTATGTGTCTGTTGATGGCTGATTTGTCAGAGTGCTAGGCTTCTGTTAAAATATATCACAGCTCCTGAGCGAATATCCTGCAAGCTACCTGGAACCTCTTGAGTTTGTACTCGGCACTTTCGTCATTAAGGAGTCTGCAACTCAGAAGTGTGAATTCGCGTCTTATCTTTTTCTCCCCACATGCCTTTGTCAATCCTCTGTATGACTCGCAACCTTTCATCAGTTTGATAGCTTAAAGGGACAGGTTTTTTTTTTTTTTTATGAAAAGTTAAAAATGGAAAATAAAGCTAGAACTTGAGAGAGAGAGAGAGAGAGAGAGACAGACAGAGACAGAGAGAGAGAGAGAGAGAGAGAGAGAGAGAGAGAGAGAGAGAGAGAGAGAGAGAGAGAGAGAGAATAATCAATGCATTCAAGGACACACTTTGGTGGGGCATGGATTACATCCCTGGAGTTTTGCCAGTCAATAATACTGGACAGTCTTCATCATTTCAGAAGTGGAAATGAGAACACCTTTATTAGTATTCCACCAGTAATAGCCCCAAAAATAAATTGCAGAAGGTTTTCTTAGCTCTTAAGGCACTGTTATGTTAAGGCAGAGTCACCTCCTAGTGACATGGGCATGCAAACAAATTTAATAATTTAAATGAAATAAATAAATATTGTATTCTTGAAGTTTTATGTGTTGGCCATAAAACCATTATAAGTACGAGGATCCATCGTGAGGGGTTCCAAATAACACACAGGACAAGAGAAATCCAAGCCAACTTGTTTGTTACTGCAACAATAAAGACTGTACACTCACTGCTTGTCACCTTAGCCTTTTATACACTATTCAAACAGAGGAGGAGGAAAATGATTGGTCCAAACTGTATACCTGTGTAGGACATCTTGTCTATCCCATAATATAAGAGTGGAGGGTTCAATTATAATAAACTGTAATAGCACTGGAGGTTTTTAGGGACCTTTCGTCATAATAATTTAGTAGGTTAACTGCCCAACCAATGTCTATGGAGATTCTTAGTCATCCAGTTCATAGTTATCTCAAAGGTGCTTCCCCCACCACCACCACCAAAAAAGACACCTGAACTGTTTTTTTCCCCTTGAGGGAAGAATAAAACATTTTGCTTCTTATCCAAGAAGCTTCAGTGGTTTTGATGGTGGGGAATGGAAGGATAGGTACTGACAGTTGAGACTGGATGGTGGGGCAGGAGAGATGGAATTTCTTTGCAGTCATCTGGTCATTAGCACTCTCTCTGAGAGCTCTTGAGCCAACATATGGGTCAGGGTCACCTGAATCAGAGTGCAGTTAATTTGTGGAATCTCCTTGGAATTGCTGCAAGGGCTATGTTGTTAACTGGAGATAGATGGTGTCTTATTTCTTCCCTTCTGTTGAGGAAGGGTTGTTCAGTTCTAACATAGATGGATTATTTTGCCTCTCTCTCAAACCAATGGTCTTCTCTATCCAAAATGTGGACCTTGCTGCTTTCAAAAGGGTGACCTTTGTCTTTCAAATGCAGATGGACCATTGAATCTTGTCCCGATGGGTGTGATCTCCTATATTGTGCCATGTGCTTGTGAAGTAGTTGTTTTGTTGCGCCAGTGTACAGATCTGCACATGTCTCATTTTATTGCATATATCACGTTGCTCAGCTTTTGTCTGGGTGTTTTATCCTTGGGGTAGACAAGCTTCTGCCTTAGCGTATTCTTGGGTTTAAAGTGTACCATGCATCTTGTGTTGTTTGAAAATCCTCCTGAGCTTTTCAGATATTCCTGCAACGTATGGAATGAATTCAACATTGCTACGTTTGTTGTTCTCTTCTTTATCTGTAATGGAGGAGTGCTTGCTGAGTCTTTTTTTTGGATTTGATGAAGGCCCAACTAGTTTTGTCTGATTCTAGTAGTTAATCCTGGGATTTCTCCACTTGCTATTTAGTTTCTTAACCTCTTTTCTGCCCAACAACTGCTGATAATAAGTCACGGGGGGCGGGGGGGTGGGATTAAAAACAAAAATATTAATTCTTTTGCAGAAAGATGTGCTAGAAGATATAATTGGGTTTGAATAGTTAGTGTCTTCCAGCTGTGTCAGACCTAACTATTCATCATTCACAGCCAATATGGCCTTGACTGGGATGATGGTTGAGTTTAAAGCCCATCTTTTAGGAAGGATGGCAACTAAGGCATCCTTCAATGCCAGAATGAGATATGTTTCCTGCATCAATTCATATGGATAAATTGATATTTAGATAATGGATAAAGAGCTGAACATTTTAAAAGCTTCATCCATACAAGTTGCCTGCCATAATTTTGCACTAAATCGGCACAGCCCAACAGCTGGCAGTATTGAAGGGGACGGGATTTCTCAGAGAAGCAAACTTTTATTTAACAAAGTGCTAATTTCCTTCATTCTTAACTATCAGAACTTTCAGTGATTGCATTAATTGTTATTAAAGAGAAAAACCTTAGCCACGAAAGTCACTCTCTCTCGGTTGTTGTGGGGAAAATATGTGGAAAATGTGTTAGATATTTTGGCTGCCTTGAGTGATTTGTAAAAATAATAAAAGGTGGAATACAAATAAACATTTTTTTAAAAAAAAAACCTCAAAGGTGAGTGGTGAAGCATGGATTTATGCAGAAAATCACAGACTGCAATTCACAGCTTCTTAGAATTTCAGATAAACAATACCGTTATATAATTTTTCAGGAGGACTTTGGAAGGCTTTTGCTAATCAGGACAAACAGTACTGGCTTAAATAAAAAAAATCTAAAAGTGCAATACAGAGCAACTCCATGTATTGATAATAATGGGGTAGGGGGGAAGTATCATAAGTATATATTTATAGTTTCCTTATATGGTACATAATCAGTTTTGGACTATTACTACCATTATACATGCATAATACTTTGTATAAAATATGTAGATTGAGATTTAATTTTGATTACACATATTTTAGAACATACAGATAAATGGCCCAGTTCAGAGTCAGGGAGCTTCTTTGTACATTCTCTAAATATTATGGGACAAGTATCATTTAGCATGAAGTCTAAATTGGGATTAACAGTGAACAATTTTCCAAACAGAATTTGGTTGAGAAACTGGTGTTACAAGCAACAATACTTCCACTGTTCTATAATTGGTGAGCTGAATTAGTGAATTCTGGAGCAAATGAAAGTGTTTACATTTTTTTTAAAAAGAAATCATTGCCGTACAGAAAATTATTTGATATAAAAGATGTATAAGAATTGCCAAGTTCTTCAACAGAAGTGATGACCACCAATATAGTATACTTTTGCTTATTATTTAAATCTCCCTCTCTCATAAAAAATAAAATTGAAATTAGGCAACAAGACCTTTAGGAAAGTTGGGAAGGGTCCACTCACATTTAATCACTCCCAATATAAATGATCATAAAATCGTATTTAAAACATTTGATCTATCAACTTAGAGGAGTTCCTTATTTGGAAGAGCTTAAAAAGGGAGGAATTTACAAACCAGCAGTTCTTCTCAAGGATCTAGATTGTAGACAGTAAAAATCCTTATAATTTGGTTAAACATATTTCTTCTATTTAATTTATTTTTTTTATAAAGAGGAGTACTTTGAAAACACTTATATTCAGCAAAATGTTTTGCACTGCAATTAAGTAGAGAATGATTGAATCTGGATATAGACCAGTTTTGAATGCAATTATCAGCCCTAAGTTCCTCTGAGTTCAGTGGGGCTTGTTGCCAAAGTAAATGACCGTACCACAGAATTTCTAGTAATGTTACAGCTGGTTTAAATTTTAAAAGAATTCATTCTTAAAAATTCAGAAATCACGCACTCACCCAGTATTGCGAAGACAGATGGTTTGGAGCCAAACTTAAGAAATGGGTAGAAATGTTTTTAGGATCCATTGCCTTTCAGGCAAGTTCAGCCTTTAAGCTTGTCCATTTTATAAGTGGTTTCAGTCACATGAAAGAAGTTAATTGTTAACATGAAATGTGAGCATTTTGTGATGGTTTTCCTTAACCACTTATGTCCCTCGTTTGGGCATCCAGCAAAAATATCAATTCAAATAATAATATTAAAACCTGATTTTTTTTTCTGGATTTTTTTTTCCCCCACTCTCATTCTGATGACCTTTTAAGGAAGCAAACCAGCTTTGGGAAAACAAGATGTGTAAATAGTACTGGGCTGTTGATTATAAATAGGCTTATTTCAGCCTTTAGGCTTTCAGCAGCGAATAGGCGACATTGCGGGGAAAAATAATCCTGCATTCTTCTTCTTTCTCTTTGAACTTTTTAACTGCTAAAAGATTTGTATAAGAGAATACTCATGGACATTTCCTGCTTTGCCCACATTATACCTTTATTTTGCAAGGTG